ACAAGCGATTCCTCGAAACCCACTTTTTCTTCCTTCGATTCCGTCATATGAAGAACATCATTAAAGCAAGGTATCATCCTCACAACCAAATTGAAGTTGATGAGTCAAGAAAACCAACCTTCTCATCTCTTCACCCAACACTTTCACTCGAAATGGAAGTAAGCTCAACCATTATGAAACAAGCGATTCCTCGAAACCCACTATTTTTTCCTTCGATTCAGTCATGTAATGAACATCATCAAAGCAAGGTATCATCGTCACAACGAAATTGAAGCTAACTAGTCAAGAAAACCAACTTTCTCATCTTCTCACTCAACACTTTCATTCGGAATGGAAGTAAGCTCAACAATTATGAAACAAGAGCTTCCTCGAAACCCAACTTTTCTTCGTATAGCCAGCAACAAGCCTATCAGGATGCTCTGCCTACACTTGCTGCCTTCCTCTGTCCAACATTTAATGTTCCTCCTTTTTAATCCAAGGCCTGAGATTAGTCATCTTTCTCTATCTCTTCTGACAGATACTCTGAACTATTCGGCTTTGATTAAATCCTCTAATAAGTTGCTTAGGCTGGTGGAGGGACTGACATTTGAGTTTTCTCAAATGTCCTCAAGACAAGTCATCGTGTTGCCACCGCATTTCCCTCCCGCTCTTTGCTTATCATTTCACGATGCGATGCAAATTTGTAATCGCACAATAAAAGCAGTGTTCACTCTATTTCGTCTAAAATGACGAAGGACTGGTGGTCGAACTTTTCCACAATTGTATGAGTAGAGCTGACATTCTCCTTCAATGCTGCACAGCCTCGCTTTCGCAAAAGTCGTTCTCTTCCCGAATGGACCGCAGTTTCGACATCATCCAGATCTTGTCAACACTCTCTGCGCGACTCGAACCATGACAACGCGGCGTGCTAACCGCTACGCCACGTTGCCACGACTGCCTTTGGGTCACAGGGCAGATGTGCATTTTAAGGGAGGCCAGGTTATTTCGCATATCACATTCTGAGGTGGGATTGTCGATGAAGCAAACTGATATTTGCTATTGCAATCGGTGACTACTTATATTTCCTTTTTTTCCAATCCTTAGAAGGCCGCATCATCAACAGACATTTACGTTTGGTATTTTTTGCTTATTCAAGGTCACAGTTTTGCAATTTCGGCCGGCTCTAGTCCTTGCTGGAGCGATTTGGAATTATCTCTTGAAGCATCTCATCCGCTCCTAAACAAGACGAGTTTGACGTCACAATTTCGGTATGGATCAAGGGCGCCATCTTCCAATGCCGACGAACCGAAGCATAATTATGCATAAATGGCTGTCCAACTTTATTGCATTTCTTTTCGTGTTTTCTTCGTTCACATTTGTCACAATCTCTCAGCCGTTCTTATCGTCTTTCCCCTCAGAACTGGCTCGTCGGCGCTCCAAGCCGTCGTCTTCTCCATCACTTTCACTCTCCTCCTCAGCGTCGGCTTGCCATCCGCGTCCAGCCGATGGCCAAATCGCATTTCGAGTATGTTCGTGCCTTCGAGGCGAATGACGTCTGTTTGCCGAATACTTGGATTGTCGTCCGTCTGGATGGACAAAACTTTCACACCTTTGCCGAAAAGCACAGCTTCAAGAAGCCCAACGATCTCTCAGCTCTCCGACTGGCGGCAGTGGCGGCCGAGCGAGTTCTCCGTCAGCACACAGACTCCATACTGGCCTATGGGCAGTCGGACGAGTTCAGCTTTGTGTTTCGCCGCGATACCGGCGAATTCAAACGGCGCGCCAGGTCAGTCGTACATGTTGCATCCCACCCTCAGGGTCAGTCATGTCGACACATCCTTGACTATGAGGGACTATCAGTTGCCAGTTAACGGCGACATTGGGGAATGCGAAACTTAACCCACTTAAGGGGTATGTTGGAGGTGTGAATGGGAAGAGTTAACCTATGAATTGGGCAGGACTGGCTACGTCCTTCAAGGTTTCTCCGACACTACGTCGAGGCTGTGAAAGGCAGTCAATCCAACTGTATACTTCTAAAGTGGGCTGCCGCCAAACCTATGATTTCGTATCTATGATTTCATATATACGAGCATATGACATAGTAATCCTTATTTTCGTATTAGAGTAGAGTTTCGAGACTACCAGTAAACCAGTAGAATGAGAAGTATTCATCCTATTTCGTCTAAGCTGATGAAAGACTACCAATCCTTCATCAGCTTAGACGAAATTGTGTGAATACATATCATATAATAATCCTTTACATGGGATGTATTCACTCTATTTCGTTAGGGTGAGTTAGGACTGGTTGTTGCATCTTCCCACAATGTAATATGCGAAATTTAATGAAAACCCAAGGTCTACTCATACCAGTGTGGGAAAATTCAACTTCAGCTCTTAGTCACTATGACGAAATGGGATGGATCTATCGAATACATATGATTTGCTGGTAGTCTCGAACTTCTACTCCGAAGCTAATGTTGATACAGATGGAGGCTCATTCGAGCTTCATTGTATAGCCTCTGAGGGTATGTGATTTAACAGGGATTAATGTCAAGGATTTCAAGGAGAATATGTTTGCCACCAGTCAGGCTTACTACATAATTTCATACCACAAAATATCACAATACCAATTTATATAAGGAAAAGCTAAGTTTCGATTGGTCTTAATAATGTCATCTCATTGGACTTTTCATTTCCAAGGAAAAGTTGGTTGGCTTTGCGTAGAAACCGAAGTACCGCCGGATACATAAAGAGGAGGAAAGAGAGAGGGATGGAGCGGGAACGAATGCAATCGTTGAGAGAGAGCGGAGGCCTTCATATCCCTTAATCTGCTTTTACGGCTCGCATACCTTCCATAAATGTAAACCGTACATCCAAAGAAACTTCAACATTGTAGCGTCCGCCTCGGTCGCAGGGCGATGCATCGAGGACGAATTCGCGCAAGTTTACAGCCACAGCTCCAAGCCAATCCCTCTATAGCTTCCGGTGAGACCAACTTACGAATGCCTTCAAACGAAATGAAAAGTACTTCATCATTGTAGCTTATCCTTGCCTGGAAACTGCTGTTCCTGATGCTTTCGTGCTCTGATGGTGTCTTTTACGCAGACAAAGGTTCTGCAAGGATTCATTGAGGTCACAGGACTGACTTGCATGAGCATTCAACACGGCAAGGCAATCCCTTTTCAACTGATCTCTTTTATTTTTCCAATTAAATATTGTTTTCGTGACTACCAGTAAATCAGTAGTATGAGATGTATTCACCCAATTTAGTTTAAGGTGATAAAAGCCTGGTAGAAGAAGAATTTTTCCACAATCATATGAGTTTAATTTCACATAGCCTTGCTTTCCCAAAAGTTGTTCTCATCCAGGATGGACAAGCGTCAGCTCAACTCATATGATTGTGGAAAAATTCTTCTTCTACCAGTCCTTCATCAGCTTAAACGAAATTGGGTGAATACATCTCATATTACTGATATCTTCTAACCGAATATTTCTTAGAAATAAGAAATCCAGTGACATTAAATCATATCATTAAATTAACTATAGAAACGGATAGTAGAAACTTGGGTTGGGAATTTATATGTTGTACTATGCAATAAATGATTGTCTTTTCATTCTTGGTAGATATGTACAGTTGAATGCTGGAGCCTCTTATTCACGGGACTCTTTAAATTACTTCACTCTTTAGGTTTCGATGATTTCTGTTGAGAAATACAGAAGATGTTTACCAACATGTTTTCACATGCGCGTCTATTTGGGCTCAACTTGCTGGCCTATTTGTGTATAAACACACAAATACTTGAAATAATCATGTCTGCTCCGGCACAGAATGCAGTACGGATATATTCTTTGAGGTCTTCCTTAAATCATTTTTATTTGCTTTCCTAATTATGTGTATGCTGTGAGTTATTATGACAATGTATTCTCGTTATCTAGTGTGGGCAAAGAGCATTCCGGCCGTTGAACCGAAGCAGGATGTCTCCAGGACTGGATCCACCTGAAAGTTCCAGAAAAAGCAAACGCTACGGCAGATTCGGCATCGTCTCTTCACGAAATCAACCTAAGATTCTTTTCAACGCGTATCAACTTAAATAATGTTGAATTCAGCAGTGAAAAATACCTTCTTTTCTAGATTTATTGGAGATACTTTACTATTCCCAAATCTTTTTCTGTTCCATCAAGTCTACAGATGATGTATTCCTTTTGACGCTTGTTGACTACCAACAGCCATGTTGAATCCATATAAAGAAGGGGGTAGATGAGAGATGTTGCCACATTGACGATGCAGCATTCTCGAGCTGAATCTATCAATGTTCCATTTATTATTTATTATTCGAATTAATTATTGTTTTCGTGACTACCAGTAAATCAGTAATATGAGATGTATTTACCCACAATCATATGAGTTGAGCTGACGTTTCCATTCAATTTCACACACACTTTTGAGAAAGCAAAGCTATGCGAAATTGAATAGAAACATCAGCTCAACTCATTTCATTGTGGGAAAATTCTTCTTTTACCGGTCCTTCATGACCTTAAACGAAATTGGGTGAATACATCTCATGCTACTGATTTACTGGTAGTCACGAAAACAATACTTAATTCTTTCTGTTCACCGAAATAATTGAATAGGAGACAGAAATTAGACGTTAGAAAGAATAGTCTAAAATGCATCTGTTTGCTGCTTAACTTAAGATGAGTGAAGCTATTGAAACTAACTCCACGGGTAGCACATTGAAGGTACGGAAGGCAGTTGACTATAAATTAATTAATTTATAAATCAGAGAGGTAGTGCGTGTGTGTGTGTGTTGAACTACATGCAAATTTAAGATGAAATTAAGACGATCAAGGCTTCTAACAATATTCCCCTTG